TAGCTGCAGCTGGCATCACTTGGAGAAAAGGATGAAGAGTGACCTACGGAAACATGGAAGTCGATGCACTCCCCCCATGGCTGGGAACTCGGGACTGCTTTGGAAATACCCTGTTAGTGACTCCTGATTCGGCTGATGAACAAATCCCTGCTCGGATAAGGAAAAAAGAACAAAGTTCCAGACTCCGTGGTGGCTCAGAATAACAAAATAAACGCTCGTCGCCTGGTGTGATCCCAGTAGGTTCTTCCAAACCTTCTTCAGTTTCACCGGCGTCGTTTTTATTTCTTCACCTTCTTTTTTTTGATTTTTTTTTTGTGGTTTTTTGTTTGGTTTTTTTTAGAAAAAAAGGAAAACAACAAAAGTTCTTTAGCTGTGGATTTTTTTTTTTTTTTGTTTAAATCTTTGAGGTAATACAGTTGTGCCCTCATTCTAACAGGTTCCCAGAGGTTGATGGTTTCTTTCTTGTTCTTCAAACTCCCCGTCATCCGTTTTCCTTTCTTTCTGTTTGTTTCTTTCCGAGTTCCCAGCTGGGCTGACATCCCTGGGGGGGAGGAGAGTGGGGGCTTCAGGCCAAGACAAAAGGTTGAACACGGCTGGAGAAAGGCTGGCAGGGCCCTCCCCGCGTCCCTGCTCCCTTCCCGGCCGATCCAGGTGGCCTGGCTTGGTCATCGCCGAGAAGTCCCAATCTCACCACCAAAAAAAAAACTGAACTAAACCACTTTGCTTGCGAGATCCGAGTGTGCGTTCAGAGTACTTGGTTTACAAAAGACATTGCAGGCTGGAGCGTTGTTCGCCCTTCAAAATTTCTGGCTTTGCTATTCATTTTAATTTTATTATTCACTTATTCTTTTTTAAAAAATAACATACATTGCTTGTAAAATAATTTCTTTCTTTTTCTTCTTCTTCTTCTTTAAATTAATTTATTCTTTCATTCATTTGTTTGTTCTTCAGATGTCATTATTATTATTATTATCATTATTATTATTATTATTATCATCAGCATTTTTCTTTCGTGGACCCCCTCCCACGCTCCCTTCCTACCCCCCCACCCCCCCAGTGCCCTGCTCTGTCTCTTTAGGAAAATATTCTAATGGCCTGAGTGGCTGCTGCGTGGCAAACCGGGCACTCCGGATCAGTCCTCTCGCAGATCCTCACGGCACACTCCATGCAGAAGAGGTTGTGGCCGCAGGGCACCAGCGCAGCCGTCACCTCGCTCTCGAAGCACACCATGCACTCGCGGCTGCTGGCGACGGACGTCCGGGCGGCCGCCGGCGTTCCCAGCTTGGAAAACCCCTGGAGCGGCTCCCCCTGCGACCGCCTGGGCAGCCCAGAGAGGCTGGGCTCGGGGATGGAGGAGGATGGGGAGCGGTGGGAGTTGGGGTGGATGGTGCCCGTGCTGCTGGAGCGCTGCTGCTTCGAGAAGAGCACCGAGACGGGGTTGGTGTTCTCCTGGCCGGCCCACATCGGGGCCCCCGACTCCGGCACCCCGTAGTACAGATCCTGCTTGTTCACGCCGTAGTTGGGGAAGAGGTAACCGTAATTGAAGTCGTTTTGGTCGTTCAGCCGGGGGGTCTCGTAGACGGGGTCGACGGAGCAGTCGCCGATGCAGCCCAGGCTGTTCTGCCGGAAGGTGGAGAGGGGCTTGCAGCCCGGCGCCGGCGTGTGGACCCGCCAGGCCTCCGAGTAGCGGTTCTCCATGCCGGAGTCGGGGCTGCTGGAGAGGAAGTCGTTCTCGTTGTTGTACTCCAGGATCTTGCCCGTCCTCACCGCGATGTGGGTCTCGATCTCCTCCCGGGCGCGCTCCACGTTGCCCGGCGCGCCGGTGATCTCGAAGACGGGATCGCGGTCCCGGCTGGGCGTGATGATGTAGGTGTTGGTCTGCTGCTGGATCCGCTTGATGGTGGCTCCCTTGGGGCCCACCACCAGCCCCACCACGCGGTAGGGCACGCGCACCCGGATGGTGACCTGCCCCGGCAGGGTGGGCGCGCTGCCGAAGGTGGTGCCCGCCTTGTTGCGAGAGGCCCTGATCATGGAGAAGTGCTCGGCCGCGGAGATGATCTCCCGCCGGGCCATGGCCACGTCCTCCCGCCGCCCCGTCACCATGAAGACCGGCTCCTCGCCCCGCACCGGGGTCTTGATGTAGGTGTTGGTCTTCGCCCGCAGGGCTTTGATCTTGCAGCCTTGGGAAGAGAGAGAAGAAGGCACGGCGGTTAGCGAGGCCGTCCCACCGCCTTCCCCGCTCTCAGGACGCCGGGCTGAGCGGCCACGATCCTCCTGTGCCACGTGGCAGCCACTGCCCAGGACCTGGAACAAGGGAAAGGCCCTTTCCCCTTAACCCTGATAGGGAAATGCCAGAGGGAGGTCCACCCTCACCATTCCCAGAGAGTCCCTCCCTCAGGAGCGCCACGCTCCCTCATCCCCCGAAATGGGGGGGTCACCACACGATCCCACCCCAACTGCCTCCCCTCGGAGATCATCCCCTGAGATCTCCCTTCCACACACCCCAACACCAGTGAGTCACAGGGGGATCTAAGCCACCCCCAGGGGCCAGCAGTCCCCATGAAGAGGCCTGGCCCCTCAGAGAAGATGGCCACCTGGGGCTCTGGGGACAGGGATGAATGTAGGGCAGCCAGTAGTGACAGGAGAGAGCTTGGGGACACCCATCCCACAGCCTGGGTGGTGGATGTGGTGCCCCTGGGCCACCCTGTGCCAGCTCATGAGGGGAGTCACCAGCCATGACTCCAGAGAGCAGAGCCCTCCATGAGGACTTCTATACTACTGAGGAGGTTTTGGGGTGAATCTGGAGAATTTCAGGGGGCCAGGTTTGGAGGAGAGTTGCAAGAGATGCAACAATTTGGCCTCCCCACCCCAAATATGGCAGGACCCCAAACACTGGCAGTACTGGATGGCTGCGAGTAGCAGGACACCAGGATTTGCTTTGGGGTGAAAACAGTAGGAAATGGGGCAGGGCTGCCCTCCTATGAGCCCCCCAGCAGGCTGTGTACAGACCCCTGCTCTAGGCACTCAGGCCCTCTCCTGAGATCACTGGCCAAGCCTGTGTTTTCACTATCCACCTCCTGAACACCAGCAAGCCCCCCATCTCCCAGAGCCCACTGAGTCTATTCCTTTGCTGCCAGGGCCCACTGAGCCCCTTCTCCCAGCTCCAAGAGCTCACCAAGCCCATTCTCCAGCTCCTCACAGTTCAGAAAACGGTCTTCTGCTTTCCCAAAAAGGGCAAAAGACTTTCCAGTGTATTTTGGCTTCCAAATCGTATTTTGGAAGGTCTCAAACCAGCTGTGTGACTCCAGGTTCTGAGATGACACCAGGATGCCATCAAGCAACTAAATATTCTTACAGATGTGGCACAGTTCTCTAAACTACTCACGGATCTCTCCTTGCTGCTGTCCTGCCCCTGGGACCCCTCTCTCCAAAACCTCACTCAGTGCCCCAAGGCATTTCCAAAGCCTGGCTCCAAATTCCCGTGCAAACCTGGGGTTCCTCTGCAGGAGGTTTGCTCTAAGCCCAGATCTCCAAGAAAAATTAAAATCCGTGATTCTCCAGGGCACTGAATCTTCACCAGCGCAGATGGAGCAAGGTGAGCACTTGGCCCTGGTTTCCCAAGGGTTTGGGTGTCCCACTGAGGCTCACGGAACCAGAGGATGAGGATACAGCACTGGGACCTCTGTGAGATCCCCCAGCCAGTCCCACTCCACCTTCTCTCCCCTGAAGAGCCCATCTCTTGTCCTCTCTGACCATCTGACACCAGCAGGTTTTCCCCAACTTCGCTGCACTGACACCACACTTTAACGCACAACGACCTGCAAACGGCGCCTCTGCAACCACCAGATGCAGATTTCTCAGCTCTCGGGCTGCAACATCGTTATTTATACAGATCCTAATAAATAACAGCACCTCCCCAGCTGGGAGTTCAGGGCTGCCACTCAGCGCTGCCACTTTATCCACGGCTCGTCTCGTGAGACGCGGGGCTGGTGACACCGGGGGCGTTCACCGGAACGCGGCGATCCCACCACTCCGCGCGGCTGGCAGGGATCGAGCTCGGCACCTGTGGCGATGGGAACAGCCTCGTGCCACCACAGCTGACAGGAACTCCCCGCGCTGGCAGGCGCCGCAGCCAGCGGTGCCCCGGCACGGAGCGCGCTCAGCCCGGCTGGCTGTGCCCAAGCCGGCACCGGGCACGGCCCCGGCGAACCGCGGGCAGGGGCGTGCACAGAGCCCTCCCTGCGTGTGGCTGCCACCCACCCACGGGGGTTCTTGGCAGCGCCACGGGGCACGTGCCGGTGAATCTGGACTCTGCTGTCGACTCCCAGCACGACTTTCAGCTCCTCGGAGCGGCTTCAGCTCCCGCGGCCTCGCTTCCCCCATCTGTGGGGTGGGGAGAACAGCTGCCTCCTGCCCCGGGCTCCCGCAAAACTTCCTCTAACGCTCCACACAGCAGTGCTGCTGCGCTAAACCCGGCTCTGAGCCACGAGTTCCACGTTCCTGGGGAATGGAAACGCCAGGTCTGACACGGAGAAGGAGCTGGGCAAATCCCCAAATCCGAGCCAAATCCACCCCCTGCCAAATCAAGCGTAGCTCGCGGGTTACTCCCCAGAGTTTGCACCCTGAGGAGGGTTTGTGGTGCTTTGTTGAGTAAAGTTTCCAAATGGCCTATGTGGACTGATGGTCACCCCAGGGTGTGTTATTAGTTCCCAGGAAACCCAAAGGACAAGACCTCATGGAGCCAGGCACGACTGGACTGCGGGACAAACCCCTGCAGACAAAATCCAGAATAAAGGTTCATCCCAAGGAGGGTGGGATAAAACCCTGAGGGGTCACCTACGCCCTCTAGCAGGCCCTGGACAGGGTGGGCTCTCCCTGACCCACCCCTGGCAGACATTTCCCTGCCCCACTCCTATGCCGCTCGCTCCAAAGATGGAGATTCCATCTTAGGAAGATTAACCAAGATGCCACCATTTCCCCAGGGATATCACCGAAGCGTCACATGGAAAGACAAGGGGGGTGTTCACAGCGAGCATCGAGCTGCAAAATGCCTCCCCTGCATCCCCCCGGGGTGCAGCAGCTCTGCCGAATTCCACGGTGACCCGTGCCCTGCCTCTGGAACGCGAGGCTGGCTCTCCCGAGCAGGAGGACCCCAGGCAGGCGTGTGGCAGGGCTGGGCTCGGGCTCCGCGTTGTTCTGAGCTGCGGGACAATGACGGCGTGTGGGGGAGAGGGATCTGAGCCCGGCACGACAGGAAACAATCAGAGAGGCGACACGGAGGGTCAGGCAGGCAGAGCGGTGACAAAGGACGGGGGTTTCATGTTGGGGACAGATGGAAGGGAAGGGTGGTGAGGAATACACATGAATGAGGGCAAACGTAAGTGTGGTACAGGATCTGGAGGGGTGGGAGGGAGTTGGGGATGGAGGAAAGGTGACGAAAATTGAGGGAGAGGCACACCCTGACCCCTCCAAGGGAGGAGGGGAATGAGGGGTGTGGAAGCAAAGCAGAGACACCCCAAAACAGCAGAAGGGAGATGGGCAAGGAGAGAGCACGGCAAGAGGGAGGGGAGGGAGGATCTGGAACGGACAAAAGGACGCGTGGTGCAGTCGGCGGTGTGAGAAGGGGGGGGAGGAGGGAGGGTCTCCGTGCAGGCCTGCAGACAGGAAAGCCAGCTTTGTGGAGACAGACAGATGGGGATCCTGCGCTTAAAAACGGGAGAAAATCACCCCGCAGGAAATTAGACCAACTCTGGCGAGCCCAGCAGCCCAGTGGGTTCAGCGGTCCTGACCTCCAGCAGCTCCAGACTGCTGCAGACAATGGCCAAGCCATCAGCAGCCCAAATCCAAAGAACTCCACAACTTCCAGGAGTGCTGTGCTGGTTTACATCAGCTAAAACCAGGCTGTGCTTAAACCTGATTTACCCCCTTTGTGCCAAGGCTCCCGGCCCACCTCGGCCCCAACCCTCTGACCCTGCTTTGCACACTGAACAGGGGCTGAGGCTCCTTGGAGATCACCCTGTTTCTGACAGAGGCAGATCAGGATGCGGCCCCTGACACCCCAGCTGGATGGGCAGCACAGCCTGATGTGCTCATTCCAAGCGAAATTTGTCCTTTAGGGGGGTGGTTTTTCACACTTTCTTTGTGTGTAACTGAAATTTGGAAACACCACGCAACAAAGCGCTTTACTCGGTGGGTAATTCAAAGGAGAAGGAGAGGTCGAGGGGAGGGAATTGTTTAGCAGGTGATGTCAAAATGGGAAACTCAGGGGAGCAAAGGACCCCTCGAAGCTGTACTGATACATAACTTTGTGTATGCTCTCCTCATTACAGCAGTGCGCAGACACCAGCGCGTCGATCCCTGGCACACTCCTGCCACTTAGATTTTTATATTAAACAGGGAATTAAGCCCTTTCTCATTGTGTTTCCAGGACCTACCTTCTATTATCCTGGTTTTTGCCAATAATGAGGATTCCAAAGCATTTTAGGAGGGAGGTTGTAAGCTCAGTTCCTCCCCACACCCCTTTTTCTCTTTAATTTCACTGAGTGCCAATTGACTCAAAGTAAATGTGTTTGCAAATTACCTGAGCACACCACAAACATTCCCACACAGGACCAAACCCTGGAGGACTGGCGAGCCTCTGGTTTCCAGACCAGTCAGCTAACTGGAATTAATCCGCAGAGCGGCCAGCTCTGGCTGAAAACATATAAATAAATTGAGTCTAGACATTGCCAAGATGGGGGGCGGGGAGCAGGGGGAGATTTGGATGCACAGCCACCTCCTCCTCTCTGCTTAGCCCTGCATCAGGGCAACAAATCCACCAAAACTACAGGAGGAGGCTCCAGGAGCTTGGTGCGCCTCTCCAAGCTGAGGCAGCCGCTCTGGAGGGCAGCAAAGGCGCCGGACGCACCAGATCTGCTTCCCTGGCACGAGCCCATCCCAAACGTCCTCACTCTGAGCAGCCCCAAAACCAACAGGACCTCACTGGGGTTCACGCCAACGCTCCCAGGGGCAGGAAAACACGGGGTGGACGTGCCCACCACACCACACCACACGCAGTGCCACGCGCAGCCGTGCCCATGGCTCAGATCCACTGGGCATTTCACTTTGGTGCAAATTCAGAGTTAAACCCGAGCTGACAACCTTCTCCTCGGTGCTGCCAGAAGGCCAGATCCTGAACGGG